GATGCTCCATCTGCCCCAGCATCTCAGTATTTGCTAGCCACCTGGTTCCTTGAGGTATGTAGAAAAAACAGTTAAAGCTGTGTCTATATCCGAATCGTCACATTTTTCCGAATCTCTGACTTGATTTGGAGGGTTCTGATTTGATTCGGAGAGACTAAAGAGTCTCCTGATTCAATTCAGATTCAGAGATTTGGCCACTGAATCAGGCCGAATCTCTGCCGAATGAAATCAGCGGCTGAAGCTTCCCACAGCCCTTCTAATTAGCACTTGGGTCCTTTGTGGGTAGCATCTGGAGTACACACACATACTGAGCAATGCTGAGCTATGGGGTTACCATGACTTGAAACTAGCCTAAGCCAGTGAACTATCTGGTAAATCATGAGCTTTTTGGCTTTGAACTGATATCATGAAGAGTTTTTGCTATATATAAGTAGATGCAAAAGTGCTACTTAAATTTTTGTTTATGGAGTACCTGTGCTAACACTTGTAGTAGTTTGGAAAAAAGGTAAAATCCATCAATTCTGGATGAATGTAGTCTATGGATACCCATAGTACAAAGTAAGTGGTTTCAAATTTGCCCCTCAGTTCCATGTGCTCAGGGAGAGTAGGGTCTCACAGTAAGAGCGGGGAAGGGGCTGGAGGAGGAAGAAGTGGGCAGGGCAGAGGGCAAAGGGGTGACCTAATCATTTTCTGCCCCTTCCCCCAATTTATTTTCTCTGCTATAGCAGTGGGAAGGTGACAAACTCAAGGCAGACCTTCCAATAATTAAATTCTATACCTGGAAAATTATAACGTTTATAAATTTTCCATACATATAATCTAGTTATGGAGGGGGTCACATTATATTCAGGGTCAACTTATATTTGAACAAATATGGTAATTATCATGCACATCACTTTTAAAACATATCATTCCTCCAACTATTAATGAAGTTAAGCTATCGTTAGCATAAGTGAAAAGATCTCTGAGCAAATAAAAGTTGTATGAAGCAAGCAGGTGTTAATTACATTGAAATATTTAAATGTTTGCTAATTTTAGAGCCTTCTCAGACATACTTGCAAAGATTTTGAAACTATGTTTTCAGAGCCATGAAAACATGGTTTCAAAATCTACCTGCAGGGTTCTACCTGTTTCTGCTGTTGGGGTTATATTATTTCCTTGACTTTCTGCTTCTCTGCTTTCTCACACAGACCACAATAGTACCTCTGTAGTTATGTTTTATATAATCTTGTGAGCTGTTGCGGGGGGGGTCACTTTGGCCCTCTTTCTGGTAGAGGTTTATAGTAAGTTAGCTCCTGGAGTTCTTAACACCTGGACTGTCTGCACATTAACACATAAAGCTAGTTTTAAGCACCCATATGCAGCTGAAAGTTACACTACTCTAAGACAGGATTATCTCTGATCGGTATTACCCAACTTATTTTACATGAAGCTGTAGCATAGAACAGCCTGGCTATACCTTAGTGTAAACACCTTACCAGTCCCCTTTCCCCTGCTGGCTGAATTCGCATCCACTGCCACCCTCCCCGCATCCCACATGCCTACTCACTGCCTCCCCACCCCTGTTTACTTGTGGCTGCCCACACTGTCTGTCCCAGTGGAGCAGGCAAGGAAGGATAACCTGTCTGCCCAGCTGCTGCCACCCCCACTGCTGCTCTCTGGGTGGACTCAGTCTGGAGAAAGCAGCCTGATGTTGCTGGTAGGTGTTGTAGGGCCTAGGACCCAGCTTGACCGGTGCCTTGCCCCCCAGCAACATCAGGGTTAGAACCCTAGTTTGCACCACCGTTGTCTGATTGCTGTTCTTGGGAAATGGTTCTTGGCAGTGGTCCATGGGATCTTGTGCCTGGGTTTCTTCATAGGGCTCCAACCTTCCCTTTACCCCACCTTTACCACATCCACTCTCTGAAGGTCTTACCCACTTCTGAGGGTTGGCAGCCTTCTGACCATCAGCCCTCTGGAGGCTGTCCTTCATCTATGGACTGGCCTTCACAGCTACACTTGTCTCAGTCTTGGGATAACAGCAAACTTATGAATACTATTAACAGGAAAAAGTCAGCATCTGCTGATGGGCCCTGGGATCTTGTCTCCCAGGCCACAGGCCTCCAGTTGGGACTTTTTGGTTCCCCCTTCTTAAGAGCCACCTGGGAGGTGTGGGAGCTCCCCGCTGTGCCCCTGTCAGTCCTCTTGGGGGGCCCTCATCTGGGTCTCGGTCCCTGCCCCTTCCCACCTTGGCCCTGTCTGACCTGAGACTGGGCTGTCTGGGTCAGTCCAGCCAGTGTGCCCACCACTCGCCTTGCTGGCCCATGCTGGCTCCCTGCCAAAGCATTGTATGGGCTCCGGGCTGTCATAGCCCCACAGCCCCACATTGCCGCTTATCCCACCACCTGCTGCCATCCCCAGTCCTAACCTCTCCTCAGGGTTTCCCTGCTGGCCTGGTGGGTCCACAGAACTCTGCCCATTCCTCCCGGCCCCAGTGCTGCCCACCTCTCCCTTATCACGCTCCGTGGTGCTTTC